CCTTTCCTATTATTCTTGTTTTGTAAATAAAGTGTAAATAGTTAAATCAGTTCAGTGTTAGACTGTCTTGGGACCATGGGCTGCTCTGTGGGGAGCAGGAGCTGGCTGGAAAGTAAATTGGTGCTGGCCAGAAGCTCTGACCCACTCTTACCACACCATCTCTGATATTGGGCAGGGGTGGCAACTATTGGGCCTCCACCTGGGTTACATTAGATATGGAATTTAAGTTCAAAGTAAATAGCTTTAGATAAGTATGGCAATAGGGGGTGAATGCGGGTGCATGTGCACCCCCTGAGAATGGCGGTGCACCCCCTGAGATTGGCCACTGTTGCTACTGCACCTGTGGGCAGCTGCAGCTCGCCACTCAACCCCTGCCCCCCTGCCAACACCACTGATTTGAGTCTGTGAGCGGTCGCTGATCACCACTGGCCACTGCTGCCAGTGGCACCTGTGGGTGGTCGCTGATCAGTATTTGCCACCCCCACCCCACTGGTGACACTGCCACAGCCGCCTGTGGAAGCTCCCTGCTTGCTGCTGCTATGCCCCCACCACCTTTGCCGCCGCTGCTGCCTGAGGGCGGTCACGCAGCATTCATGATGGTCATTTTCTGGTATTTACTAAGAAATTGGCTTTTTGCCTTGCAATAGCCTCATCAGGAATATCCTATTTCTGACTGTAGTCTAAGCAAAGAAGTGGAGACTCCATTTCCTAATTTCATTCCTGCATTGGTTTACTTCTACTCCCACAAGGTGGCACACACTGGATGCTATTAGACCACTTGTTTCATTGACCCTCACTTGGTATCAATCCAACATCTCCCTTACAGAAACTATGATGATATTTGATACGTGACCAACTAAGAATAGAATGATACTGAGAGACCGCCTCTACATGAGATGCTGATTGCACAGTAGCTCGTTACTACTGCACAGTAGCCTTGCAGGGCATGAACCATGATGCAATGCTACTGCACCAGAGTAATGAGCTACTGTGCAGTGAGCATGACTATGAAGCTGTACAGAGACACTATGCAGTAATGTTGGTTATTGCATAGTCATTTAGTACTTATTTAGTACTTGAGTATGCAAGTACTAAAAGACGGCACAGTAACAACTGCACCATGAAAGCTGTGTGCCCCCGGAGGCTGGGGGAACATGGTGATTGCCTGCAGGTGTCAGTGGCGGTGTTGGGGGTGAGCGAGGGGGATGGCAAGCAGCAACTGCCTGCAGGCCAGCGGCACTTTTTGCAGGGGGTGCACATGCACCTGCGTGCAACCTATGCATTGCTAATCAACTGCACAGTCAGTGTCTCATGTAGACTTGGCCAGAAACCAGTGGACCTAAACCTGCTTTAATACAAGACCTGTGGCTGCTTAGTTACACTCACCTACGTTTTATGTCATTTCCTTTTCTAAACATAGGATTTGTATCTTGAATAGTGCTTAGTATCACTTATTATCACTGCTCCCTTCTAACCCTGTTCACATACCTGTGCAACTTGATTCTGTTCCCCCGCTGCTTGCTACCTTTTGACCTGTTCTGAGAGTTTGGCCCAAGGGAATTTCTCTCATAGAAACACTGGACAAAGGAGGACCTGAATTAAGCTGAGCAGGATGCTTTCTGAAATCCTAAAAATAGATCTTGACTGGCCTACAGCTAGTGGGAAGTGTCACTGCTTGAGGATTAACAGATGTTTCATCGTTGTGCCAGAAACGGCTCTAAGGGTCACCTGGGAGCATTCTAGTGACCTCCAGTACTCTTTGAACCACCCCTATGGTACTACTGGGACTCACTGAACAATGAATTCAGAAGCTAGAGAACTCTTTCTTTTAAAAGCTCTGTAAAAGACCACATTAAAGAGCTCCTTAAAAGCTCTCACAGTCCAAGCTTTGCAGATGAGGATCTCCCAGCCTAGCCCCCATAACCACAGAGTGGGGGCTGGGAGCTCCCTGCTGCTGGGGCAAGGGACATTGTCCCTGTCCCGGCTCCAGTGGTGGAGCCCACCCTGGCAGCAGGCAGCTCCTGAGGGTAGGAAGCAATTTCCCACCCCTCCTGCCTGGATGACAGGGAGAATATTTGCTCCTGGTCAGGCATCTACATGTGTGCTATTACACAGTAAGTAATTGAAAGTAAATTTGCTACTTGCATTTGCACATATAAACAGTGATGCTAACAGCACAGTAATTAGCTCTAATCTTGACAAAAGCATCTCATGCAGACGGGCCCACTGTCTTGTACCTAAACTCAGTACAGGTTGAATGGGGCAAAGTAAGTGAGATGGTGACAAGTGAATTAGAGTCCATTTATCATGTTATTTGACATGAGGGTGATTTTTAAATGCATCTATAAAGAATGGATTTTGGAGCACAAG